GATCGATGGATGGATGTGTGTGTATGTATGTATGTGATATGTATGTATGTGATATGTATGTATGTAATATGTATGTAATATGTATATATGTGTATGTATGTATGTGTATGTATGTATGTGTATGTATGTATGTGTATGTATGTATGTGTATGTATTAATATGTATGTATGTATGTATGTATGTATGTATGTATGTATGTATGTATGTATGTATGTATGTATGTATGTATGTATGTATGTATGTATGTATGTATGTATGTATGTATGTATGTATGTATATATGTCTGTCTGTCTGTCTGTCTGTCTGTCTGTCTGTCTGTCTGTCTGTCTGTCTGTCTGTCTGTCTGTCTGTCTGTCTGTCTGTCTGTCTGTCTGTCTGTCTGTCTGTCTGTCTGTCTGTCTGTCTGTCTGTCTGTCTGTCTGTCTGTCTGTCTGTCTGTCTGTCTGTCTGTCTGTCTGTCTGTCTGTCTGTCTGTCTGTCTGTCTGTCTGTCTGTCTGTCTGTCTGTCTGTCTGTCTGTCTGTCTGTCTGTCTGTCTGTCTGTCTGTCTGTCTGTCTGTCTGTCTGTCTGTCTGTCTGTCTGTCTGTCTGTCTGTCTGTCTGTCTGTCTGTCTGTCTGTCTGTCTGTCTGTCTGTCTGTCTGTCTGTCTGTCTGTCTGTCTGTCTGTCTGTCTGTCTGTCTGTCTGTCTGTCTGTCTGTCTGTCTGTCTGTCTGTCTGTCTGTCTGTCTGTCTGTCTGTCTGTCTGTCTGTCTGTCTGTCTGTCTGTCTGTCTGTCTGTCTGTCTGTCTGTCTGTCTGTCTGTCTGTCTGTCTGTCTGTCTGTCTGTCTGTCTGTCTGTCTGTCTGTCTGTCTGTCTGTCTGTCTGTCTGTCTGTCTGTCTGTCTGTCTGTCTGTCTGTCTGTCTGTCTGTCTGTCTGTCTGTCTGTCTGTCTGTCTGTCTGTCTGTCTGTCTGTCTGTCTGTCTGTCTGTCTGTCTGTCTGTCTGTCTGTCTGTCTGTCTGTCTGTCTGTCTGTCTGTCTGTCTGTCTGTCTGTCTGTCTGTCTGTCTGTCTGTCTGTCTGTCTGTCTGTCTGTCTGTCTGTCTGTCTGTCTGTCTGTCTGTCTGTCTGTCTGTCTGTCTGTCTGTCTGTCTGTCTGTCTGTCTGTCTGTCTGTCTGTCTGTCTGTCTGTCTGTCTGTCTGTCTGTCTGTCTGTCTGTCTGTCTGTCTGTCTGTCTGTCTGTCTGTCTGTCTGTCTGTCTGTCTGTCTGTCTGTCTGTCTGTCTGTCTGTCTGTCTGTCTGTCTGTCTGTCTGTCTGTCTGTCTGTCTGTCTGTCTGTCTGTCTGTCTGTCTGTCTGTCTGTCTGTCTGTCTGTCTGTCTGTCTGTCTGTCTGTGTGTGTGTGTGTGTGTGTGTGTGTGTGTGTGTGTGTGTGTGTGTGTGTGTGTGTGTGTGTGTGTGTGTGTGTGTGTGTGTGTGTGTGTGTGTGTGTGTGTGTGTGTGTGTGTGTGTGTGTGTGTGTGTGTGTGTGTGTGTGTGTGTGTGTGTGTGTGTGTGTGTGTGTGTGTGTGTGTGTGTGTGTGTGTGTGTGTGTGTGTGTGTGTGTGTGTGTGTGTGTGTGTGTGTGTGTGTGTGTGTGTGTGTGTGTGTGTGTGTGTGTGTGTGTGTGTGTGTGTGTGTGTGTGTGTGTGTGTGTATGTATGTATGTATGTATGTATGTATGTATGTATGTATGTATGTATGTATGTATGTATGTATGTAAATATGTATGTATGCATGCATGTATGTATGTATGTATGTATGTATGTATGCATGTATGTATGTATGCATGTATGTATGTATGTGCGTGTGACTGTGTGACTGTATTTGAGTGTATATGTGACTGTGTCTGCATGTGTCTGTGTGTGTGAGTCTTTCTGTATGTCTGTGAGTGAGCCTGTCTGTGTTTGTGTGTGTGTAAGTAATTTATACAAAGTTCTGTAATTTGCATACATTTTAAGACTAAATTATAATTTTTGTGAAGGGTAATATAGTTTGCTTTTGTTCTTTGCACTTTAAGTCAATTAAAATGTAAAGCTATAATATAAAAATGTATTTTGAAAATGATCAATATTGAGTTTTCTAGTCATCCATTTAAATTTTAGTGCACAAATTAACCCTTTAAAAATATGACACAATGGCGATCAAGTCAAGATTTTGACAATGTGCCTGTCTCCCACTAGTCCGTCCTTCACAGAGACACCATTTGTGCCTATGTTTGAGGGATTGGTGTGTGAACTTTGACCGAGCCTTTCAATAACTGGCGCCTCAAGCTACAGACGTGGAAATATGAATCGATGACCAGAGAGTGAAGATGAAAGTCAAAAGATTTTTTCAAACGAGCCTTCTAGCCCTAACAGTCATGCCTCTGCTTGTCACGGGTGCAGTCCCTGGGGAAGTAACTGATGCTGATGTAGTTACGACCACTCAAGTCGAAACTACAACTACCTCAGTCGAACCTACATTACCTCAAGTCCATACTACAGCTAATCCGGTCGAAACTACAGCTAATCCGGTCGAAACTACTCCAGCCGTGAATCCAACAAGAAAGCCAGTCTTGAATCCAGTCGACTACTCCTGCATCAAGAGTCGCCCACAGCAGATGTGCAACCTTCAGCTCATCTATCCAGACCCCGTGGGGCCTCTGCCCTGTCACGTGACCATCAAGGGTCAGGAGTTTGTTAGACCTCCACACCCATCACTGTACGTCTCCACATCTTTGGTAAGTACTATAGTAGCGTCGTCTTTTGATCAGTAATATAGTAGCGTCGTCTTTTGACCAGTAATATAGTAGCGTCGTCTTTTGACCAGTAATATAGTAGCGTCGTCTTTTGACCAGTAATATAGTAGCGTCGTCTTTTGACCAGTAATATAGTAGCGTAGTCTTTTGACCAGTAATATAGTAGCGTAGTCTTTTGATCAGTAATATAGTAGCGTCGTCTTTTGACCAGTAATATAGTAGCGTCGTCTTTTGACCAGTAATATAGTAGCGTCGTCTTTTGACCAGTAATATAGTAGCGTAGTCTTTTGACCAGTAATATAGTAGCGTAGTCTTTTGATCAGTAATATAGTAGCGTCGTCTTTTGACCAGTAATATAGTAGCGTCGTCTTTTGACCAGTAATATAGTAGCGTAGTCTTTTGACCAGTAATATAGTAGCGTCGTCTTTTGACCAGTAATATAGTAGCGTAGTCTTTTGACCAGTAATATACTAGCGTCGTCTTTTGACCAGTAATATAGTAGCGTAGTCTTTTGACCAGTAATATAGTAGCGTCGTCTTTTGACCAGTAATATAGTAGCGTAGTCTTTTGACCAGTAATATAGTAGTGTCGTCTTTTGACCAGTAATATAGTAGCGTAGTTTTTTTACCAGTAATATAGTAGCGTAGTCTTTTGACCAGTAATATAGTAGCGTCGTCTTTTGACCAGTAATATAGTAGCGTCGTCTTTTGACCAGTAATATAGTAGCGTCGTCTTTTGACCAGTAATATAGTAGTGTCAAATTTTAACCAGTACTTTAGTAGTGTCAAGTTCTGGGACCATCTTTACAATGGCAATGTAGTGTCAAGTTCTGGGACCATATTTACAATGGCAATGTAGTGTCAAGTTCTGGGACCATATTTACAATGGCAAGGTAGTGTCAAGTTCTGGGACCATCTTTACAATGGCAATGTAGTGTCAAGTTCTGGGACCATCTTTAACCCTAACCCTAACCCAATGAGCGAATGTATTGCTCACCCAGGGTGTAGGACAAAAGGCCGACATCCAAAAGGCCGACAAGACATAAGGCCGACACGGACAAAAGGCCGACATGGACAAAAGGCCGACAGCCAAAAGGTCGACAGGACATAAGGCCGACAGCCATAAGGCAGACAGCCATAAGGCCGACAGACCATAAGGCCGACAAACCATAAAGCCGACAAACCATAAGGCCGACAAGCCATAAGGCCGACAAGCATAAAACGTACTAATATCGCAAATATGTGTTCCTGCAAAGCTCCTATCTTGACAACCATCGAAATAAGGCATAAAAAAGGTGAAACGTTCAAGAGAAGAGACGGTGCTAGTTTCTATCCTTATAAGGTGAACCATCGGTCAAGCGATCAACACCTAAATATTGCGAAATGCTGTCACTGCTGTCTTTCATAGCTCCTTCTATGTAATCGAGGTGAGACGACCATCAAAGAACAAAGTCAAAAGCCGCCGGCATCATCGCCCACATGCAACAAGGTGGAACGTCAAGAGACAATGCTAGTTGCGATCCTTATAAGGTGAACTATGGGGCCCATGCGACTGGAGATGACGGGAGTGTACAAAGAATAAACAGACAGGTGGCGTTACCACCATATTTTGTAAAGCAATCAAAGAAACCGAATGAAGTAGAACAATCGCGTGCTTTGACTAGACTACATGTTTAATACAGACAGAATTATATTTTAGTTTCGTCCATTGCTAATTGCGTGAAAAAAAAAGTGTAAATTATATTCATTGGATTCATAAATTCTTTTGTGATTTTTATACTAGTTTGCCGAAATCGGTACGTTATTTTTGTTTTTTGTGTAAACTTACCCCTGTGATTTCCCTATATAAGGAGTAATATATCGGCAACAAATAATTGGTTACATCGTGTGCTTTATTTTATCCTATTGTATGTACCTAAGAATACTTATTAGAAACTTAAAAAGTCGTATATAATTACATATTTTAGATATTAAATATGCCTGTAATTGTTGTTTGTGATTTATAAAACTTGTCGGCCTTTTGTCCTGTCGGCCTTTTGGCAGTCGGCCTTTTGTCTTGTCGGCCTTTTGTCTGTCTTATCGGCCTTTTGTCCATGTCGACCTTTTGTCCGTGTCGACCTTTTGTCCATGTCGGCCTTTTGTCCATGTCGACTTTTTGTCCGGATCCCCTCACCCATTAGCTTAACCTTCTGTCGTGCTGTTTTTTTTTTTCAAAGACACAAGGAGGCATCGTTTTTGACGTCATTCGGATGTGGGAAAAGGAGAGGGTGTAAAAAGATCGAATTTGTGGAAGCGGGTGTACTGGGTTGTTCGGGTCGATAAGATTCACCACATATTGAAGTACTTCAAATTAAAATAAAAGAAGTAAAATTTAGACGAGCAAACAAAAAAAAACCAACTCAGCGGTCACTGGGATCATCCATGCCATAAGTGACGTCATGATTTTTAATAATCTTTATCTCCTTTTCCCTCCCTAACGTCACAGATTGTCAAATATAGCTGAACCCACCAAATATAATGACGTCACACGCAGCCTAATATTCCAAATTATTTGTGAACGTTATAAATGATGAGCCCTAAACTTTGTTATCAACATCTTTAGCGCCCAAACAAGACCTTGATGTATGGCTACAACAGTTTGAATGGTCAAGTTGTCTGGCTGTTGGAAGCAGAGGTAATTTTTTACAGTGTCGTTTATGGAGTATTTAGGAAGTATTGTGCATAAAAATCAAAATAAAACATTGACGCTTTTAGCAATTTTACACCTCCCTACTTTATCGCAAATTTAGTGTAGAGGACTAATCGAGCAAAAAAAATCAAGATTTTACACGTCTCCGTCGAAAAAACTTGGTTTTGCAATTTTGACTGTCTGTCTGGGTGTCTGTGAACGAGTACCCTTTCAGTTATTTTAAAGCAATTTCAAACATAAATATTAAAATTATTTTTTTTTAGTTTCCTAGCAACTTTGAGCTATTTTACATAACCTGAACTGGTACTTACTCTACTTCCTGTTCTTCAAAAGCCAATAACTTAAGTACCATTTACGTTTACTTACTTGACTTACTTGAAAAACTTAAACGCAAACATTAACGCAAACAATAATGCTAACGAAAGTATGAACGTAATCGAAAACATCATGAGGACATTTATGAACAGCTTCTTAAAAAATATTGATTAATACAATAGCTAGTAAACAGTTCATTTATGGTATAAACATTATAAACAAAAACGCAAACATGAACATAAACGCAATCATGAGCACATTGTAATATAAACATAAACGCGAACATAAACAAAAACTTAAACGCAATCAATAACTCAAACGGAAAGATAAACGTACACAGATGATCTTTAGGAACGGCTTCTAAACTGTTATTCATTAAAAATAATATTTATTAAAATGTACATTCAGTGTATAAAATAAATAAAAGATAGTATTTAAAATACCTATTTTTACCTAGCACCTTAAATTTAAGCAATCTTTTTTTTCCAGCAGCAACAAACTAAAATAAACCGGCAGTGATCTCCCCTAAACTCTCTCGAATATTCTTATATAACACTATGGGGGATGGCAACTCGGGATATAGACATGATTTTTAATCCATTTTGAATTACTTAAACTTTTAAAAATAGAATAGAATCTTGTTGAAAAAAGAATTGCGCACCAAGTGAACGCCAAACAATCTGTGTATAATAGTGCGGAATATTATTAGTACTTTATAATAGCATATGCGTTTTTTTGAGAAATCGGAAACAGCGTAAATTACTACTTCAGGTCAACTGAAATTACTCAAAATTTGATAGAAGGCAGAGAAATAGATATTTTACTTATATGTAAAATTTCGTTTATGTATCCGAAATAGTACTCAAGTTATAGGCTTTTGAAAAATTGAAAGTATAATAAGTTCCACTTTCGGTTATCGGACATCGCTGAAAAGTTGAAACAGAACTACCAATTTGATATGAAATTTCATCAACCTAGCTGTAACACACACACAGACATACGGACAAGATGACAAAACTATGTTTTTCCAACTCAGGGAGGTGTAAAACGTCGAGATCTTCAAAAATCTCGATTTTTTTTTTGCACGGTTACAATACTTTCTCTATACTTCGTATACGAGAAAGTAATAAAAGTAATGTTTCTGATGTAATTTTTAAGTAATTTATCAGGGGAAGTAATTGGTACAAAGAGGCTGTATTTTAATACATTTTTCAGACAATTTTGTTTTTAACGGTAATATTTTTAGTTTGATTTTTTCTTTTCACTTTACGTCAATTAAAAATGATAAATTGTAAAATGAAATTTTAATTTAAAAAGAATCAATGTTGAGTTTTCTAGACATCAATTTTAGTACACAAAAATTAACACTAAAATATATATCTCAATGTCGATCAAGTCCAGTTGTTTACTATATTTTTACTATATGCATGTCATTCGCAAACATACATATCTGTCCAGCACATTCAGAGTCCATTTGAACTTTATATATTACACTAGGCATACTGCCTAGCTTCGCTTAGGTTTTCAAAAACATTTGATAATTTGAATAGTAATTATTAGGTGATGGATGAGGCGTGGAGTGCTTAAATGTAAACAGTAATGCTAATTTTAGAGAAGATGTTGTAGGCCTATGCTCTTTAACATCAGCTTGCAGACTTTCAGAGAAAGTGTTCGAAAGTACGCAATTTATAACTAAGATGGAAATAGAACTACAGAGGTTCCATGAACAGTATATCTCATAATTTATATTACATTGACTTTTAAAATTAATTTTTTATTTAATTATGATACGTAGCTTAATTAATAACTTATTTTTATCTAAAACAAATGCTATACTTTGTCGTTTTCTGTTTCTGTTTAAAATAGTATAGAATTATTTGAAAAATAATTATTTAAAAAGGTTACCTCCCTTGGAAATTAACCGAATGACGTATCTCTGTGTTTACTTTTTTTTTAAACAAACAGTTACTATGCTTATATAAGAAAATACGATATATAAACATATTTAACGACTACAATAGCTTTTTCCGACGGAATTAAAGTTTTTTTGTTACCCTCCAGGGTCGGTCTACGACCTCAAATAATATTAACGGGATCGATCGTCAAATTATTTATATATATCTCATATAAGGAGAATTTCACTCGCGGTCATCTTTTAGCACTGGTCGGGGGCTTTGAGTCTGACCAACAGTTTTTCCATACGGCCTAGTCATCTATAGAAGTGTATGCAAAACATTAGCATGATGTACAGAGGTTAAGTAACGTAAAAATTGTGTTAAAATTACCCTGTTTTTTTCCATAAAATACAAAGATTATATAGGGAAATACGACTGGTCAGTTTTGACCCCTTTACGAAGTTTTCCCAGATATGCCGAGTTTTTTGTGACACCCCAAGGCGTTCTCCTACCACCTCACAAAATATCAAGGGGGGTCGTCGGAGGAATTTTTTTTTCGTAATAGAGCTCATATAAAGAGAATTTCACTCGCGGTCACATTTTAGCCCTCGTCGAGTGCTTTGAGAGAAACCGACAGTTTTCCCTAAAGGTCAAGCCATTGACCTAAGAGTATGCAAAAATTTAGCCAGATATACTGAGTTTAAGTACCCTAAAGCCTGCGTTGAAATGACCCTCTGTTTTTCCAATAAAATACAAAGATTATATAGGGAAATACAACTGGTCAGTTTTGACCGCTTTACGAAGTTTTCCCAGATATGCCGAGTTTTTTGTGACACCCCAAGGCGTTCTCCTACCACCTCACAAAATATCAAGGGGGGTCGTCGGAGGAAATTTTTTTTCGTAATAGAGCTCATATAAGGGAATTTCACTCGCGGTCACTTTTTAGCCCTCGTCGAGGGCTTTGAGTGAAACCGACAGTTTTCCCTAAAGGTCAAGCCATTGACCTAAGAGTATGCAAAAATTTAGCCAGATATACTGAGTTTAAGTACCCTAAAGCCTGCGTTGAAATGACCCTCTGTTTTTCCAATAAAATACAAAGATTATATAGGGAAATACAACTGGTCAGTTTTGACCGCTTTACGAAGTTTTCCCAGATATGCCGAGTTTTTTGTGACACCCCAAGGCGTTCTCCTACCACCTCACAAAATATCAAGGGGGTCGTCGGAGGAAATTTTTTTTCGTAATAGAGCTCATATAAGGGAATTTCACTCGCGGTCACTTTTTAGCCCTCGTCGAGGGCTTTGAGTGAAACCGACAGTTTTCCCTAAAGGTCAAGCCATTGACCTAAGAGTATGCAAAAATTTAGCCAGATATACTGAGTTTAAGTACCCTAAAGCCTGCGTTGAAATGACCCTCTGTTTTTCCAATAAAATACAAAGATTATATAGGGAAATACAACTGGTCAGTTTTGACCGCTTTACGAAGTTTTCCCAGATATGCCGAGTTTTTTGTGACACCCCAAGGCGTTCTCCTACCACCTCACAAAATATCAAGGGGGGTCGTCGGAGGAAATTTTTTTTCGTAATAGAGCTCATATAAGGGAATTTCACTCGCGGTCACTTTTTAGCCCTCGTCGAGGGCTTTGAGTGAAACCGACAGTTTTCCCTAAAGGTCAAGCCATTGACCTAAGAGTATGCAAAAATTTAGCCAGATATACTGAGTTTAAGTACCCTAAAGCCTGCGTTGAAATGACCCTCTGTTTTTCCAATAAAATACAAAGATTATATAGGGAAATACAACTGGTCAGTTTTGACCGCTTTACGAAGTTTTCCCAGATATGCCGAGTTTTTTGTGACACCCCAAGGCGTTCTCCTACCACCTCACAAAATATCAAGGGGGGTCGTCGGAGGAAATTTTTTTTCGTAATAGAGCTCATATAAAGAGAATTTCACTCGCGGTCACTTTTTAGCCCTCGTCGAGGGCTTTGAATGAAACTGACAGGTCAGCCGTACGGCCAAGCCATTTACCTATAAACATGCCGAAAATTAGCGAGATGTAAAGAGGGTAAGTGCCCTAAAATCCGTTTTGAAATGACCCTCTGTTTTTCCCATAAAATACAAAGATTATATAGGGAAATACGACTGGTCAGTTTTGACCCACTTCCCGATTTTTCCGAGATATGCCGAGTTTTTTGTGACACCCCTAGGCGTTTTCCTACCACCTCACAAAATATCAAGGGGGGTCGTCGGAGGAAATTTTTTTTCGTAATAGAGCTCATATCAAGAGAATTTCACTCGCGGTCACTTTTTAGCCCTCGTCGAGGGCTATGAGTGAAACCGACATGTCTGCCCTACGGCCAAGCCATTTACCTATAAGCATGCCAAAACTTAGCCAGATGTAAAGAAGGTAAGTGCCCTAAAATCCGTTTTGAAATGACCCTCTGTTTTTCCAATAAAATACAAAGATTATATAGGGAAATACGACTGGTCAGTTTTGACCCCTTTACGAAGTTTTCCCAGATATGCCGAGTTTTTTGTGACACCCCAAGGCATTCTCCTACCACCTCACAAAATATCAAGGGGGGTCGTCGGAGGAAATTTTTTTTCGTAATATAGCCCATATAAGGCGCCGGTCAGTCGAGGTCAGTTTTGACCCCCTCTCCGTATATTTTTCGGCCAACCGTCACCGGCCCTCGTGTTCTATCGCCCGAAGGCACCATCGTGCCAAATTTGACGCGCCTGCGGCGCCGGGAAGTGCCCTATCGGGCACTTGACCACTTTGCTTTATATATATAGATTTGAGCTCGTCTACACTTTACGTTGATAGAACTTTACTAATTTTGTTGTTTAGATTGATGTAACCTGCTACCTGAAGATAAAGAAAGTTTTTAGATGTAAGTAAGACATTGGATCTTTGCACTGTCTGTCTGTCTGTCTGTCTGTCTGTCTGTCTGTCTGTCTGTCTGTCTGTCTGTCAGTATGTCTGTCTGTCTGTCTGTCTGTCTGTCTGTCTGTCTGTCTGTCTGTCTGTCTGTCTGTCTGTCTGTCTGTCTGTCTGTCTGTCTGTCTGTCTGTCTGTCTGTCTGTCTGTCTGTCTGTCTGTCTGTCTGTCTGTCTGTCTGTCTGTCTGTCTGTCTGTCTGTCTGTCTGTCTGTCTGTCTGTCTGTCTGTCTGTCTGTCTGTCTGTCTGTCTGTCTGTCTGTCTGTCTGTCTGTCTGTCTGTCTGTCTGTCTGTCTGTCTGTCTGTCTGTCTGTCTGTCTGTCTGTCTGTCTGTCTGTCTGTCTGTCTGTCTGTCTGTCTGTCTGTCTGTCTGTCTGTCTGTCTGTCTGTCTGTCTGTCTGTCTGTCTGTCTGTCTGTCTGTCTGTCTGTCTGTCTGTCTGTCTGTCTGTCTGTCTGTCTGTCTGTCTGTCTGTCGGTCTGTCGGTCTGTCTGTCTGTCTGTCTGTCTGTTTGATTATCTGTTTGGCTGTCTGTCTGATTGTATGTCTGATTATTTGTCTGTATGTCAGTCTTTTTCTTAGTTTCTTTATTATTTATATATATATATATATATTATTTTATTATTTTATATATTATTTATATATATATATATATATATATATATATATATATATATATATATATATATATATATATATATATATATATATACATATATACATATATATATATATATATATATATATATATATATATATATATATATATATATATATATATATATAAATTATATATAATATATATATATATATATATATATATATATATATATATATATATATATATATATAGGTGTGTGTGTGTGAATTATGCAGAGACCATTTCATTTATCTTTTGAATGGCTTCTTTACTTACTTGCTCAGATTTTGATCAAATAGTTGTACCGGAGAATGAAATCACACCTCTGACGTTCGTCCTCTTTGAGTTCAACGACAGATCCTTCAGCGGTATCAGAGACCTTAGCCTGTGTGAGCTCATATCGAAGTACGCACTAGGTGAGCCCTTAGCCGCCACTGACGTTAACGTCAACATGCGAAACATCGACAAACTCGTCTCTGAACGAGGACGGGAGCTTGGCTGTCCGGCTCCCAGCTCCAGCTTTGGCCGCATAACAGATGATCGACTGCTGACATTTTTCCTTTTTTTGCTCAATCTTCACTTCTGTTGGTCATTTGTCGACACGAGGTTTTAGTTTGATAGAAATCTTGCTACCTTCATTGTCAGAAGTTTTTGGTATATATCTTGACCAAATGTCTTGTAGTCCTCGTAGATAGAGGATTTTGGTGTATTCATTGACAGAAGATTTCGCTGGCTTCATTGACAGAAGATCTTGCTTGGTTCATTGACAGAAGATCTTGCTTGGTTCATCAACAGAAGATTTCGATGGCTTCATTCACTTTGTTTCTCATCACCAGAATGTTGTTTTGTTTAAGGCAGATTTAATTATGTTATAAGAATTTTTTAATAAAATGTTTGAGACACAGCTCTAGAGTTTTTATAAGCTTTTATTTGCTTCCTCTGTCTGTCGACAGTCTGTCTATGTGTCGTCAGTCTGTCCAGATTGAAACGCCCGAGCAAAATTTCGGGCACGTTAGCACGTGGGTCAAGACATGAAGACAATGCAATTTGACTTAATTAGTTGCCTAATTATTTTTTTATGAATTAGTTGAAATTTTGTCTAAATTAGTAGGCTGTCTCATCAAACTATTCCACAAACTATTCCACACTATAAGACAGCGTCATCACGTTCACTAGGTGCGCAATGGTTTTTAGCCATGCAACTCGATTGCATTAAAAAAAATTCATAAAAAACGTTTTAATAACAAACTTTTATGTGCAAATGCACTAAAAATTAGTTTCTTTAAATATATAGTAATACAATACGCTACTATTTATATAACTATAAAGAAAAGCGAGTGTCGCTATATTATCTATTGGATACTTTTACTAACATTTAGGAAGCGACCCACGATTTTCTTTATAGTTATATAAATAGTAGTATATTTGTTACTATACCTTTAAAAAAACTCATTTATTTTGTACTTTTTTATGAATTCATTAAAATTGTGTCCAATATAGCAGGCAGTCTTATCCAACTATTCCGCACTATTGTATACGCGTTAACACGTTCATTAGGTGCGCAATTTTTATGAATGAATTAAAACTTTCTGAAATTAGCAGGCAGTCTTGTACTACTAGTTCCGCACTTTATACGTGCATTATTATGTTCATTTGGTGCAAAATAGTTTTAAGTCATGCAACTCTATTGTAGTTTATTTTTTAAACGAAGTGACTAGTCGGAAATAGATCTTTCCCCCCCCCCCCATGCGCTATCTGGCCGGCATAAGATGCAAAACGCAATGGGCTCCAATTCAGTAGCGTACGCAAGGGGGGGGGGAGCAGGGGGAGCGGCCTCTCCCCCTCTGGCCATTTTCAGCAAAGTGGCGCCTTTTTAGAAACTTTTTAAACTCAAAGTTTTAAACATTGATATTTGTTAAAAAATATTTTTTGGCGCCACATCTATGTAAATCACAAGATTTCTTTTCATGCAGCAATTAAGCATTATTGTACTCGTCTAGTAGTGTCTACGTTTAACAGCTGCATCAGTTTGCCATTCTAAAAATAGCCATTACGATGCATTGAAATTTTAAAAAATCCTCTACCGGTAGTACCACTTGGCAAGAGGGGTGTTAAGTTTAAGGCAACTGTATAATGTATTTGCTTACGAATAATTGCATTAGAAAATGTTATACATAAAACTTCACACATAATTAATTTATATATAGATCTACAGTTTGAATCGTGTGATTAATTTTTAGAAAATTACAATACAGAAACAAATACAACTGATGTGGCACCTCTATTTAAATTTACTTATGGGCAAGCTGCGTAGCGGTGGGGAAATTTTGACACGGTCAACAACGTCATCACGATGAGGTAGTAGTATTCTTACAGTTTGGGCGATAGTGATATGATTACAAATTGTATGAAACAGTTACAACCCCCCCCCCCTCCCTCATGGACCCTGTGTAAAAAAAATATTGTCATAATACCACTGCTACTTATTTAAATCTATTTCTGAATCAGTATACATGTGTAATATATATGTATGTTTAGAACAGTCATCTAAAAACTGACGCTATGTTCACTCTGAGTTGGTAATCTACCCCCCCCCCCCCCACACACACACCTCACCACCACAATTGTGTAGAGCGACATTAATGTCACACCTAGGTATACACTGGGTTGGATAATTGACCTAAAGTGACCGGGCAGTAAAAAGGTGTGTGAGCAATACAGTGATCTAACCCATACCTATCACTATGTTAAAAATGATCTTTAAAGAACACAAAGAAGCAGTAGTTAATTAAAAATATATTATCTGAACTAAAAGACCGATATTTAGTTAAATGTAGGCTGTTATTCTGAATGTTTTTCTATTATATCGAAAAACGTGGTTTTACACCAACTCTGATTTCAAAAACTTTCATTATGCTGTAATACTTTAGCATTTATGATGACGATATATTTCATTCTGATTATAGACAAAAACATTTTGTTAAACAATTTCATTATATTGTAAAGTAATTATTTATTTGCTTTGACATTTATAATTAAATGTGTAGATATATACATATTTATATTAAGAGAGTTATTATTTCCCCTATTTCACTTGTCTTAAATAATTTCCAAGGAATTATTATGTAAGAAATTTTTTTACAAGAATTACAAAACAGATTGTGTTACGTTCATTGTTTTTGGTTGTAGTGTGTGTATTTTGTTTAGATTGATACAATTTTTGTTTTGTCGGCCTACATTGTGTGTTTTTTCTTATTTCTTCAGAGTGCTACTTTCAATTTATTTTACATCATAGCGAAGGAATGATATACAGTGCACAGCTAGTAATTATATATATATATATATATATATAGATATATAGATATAGATATATATATATATTTAGATATATATATATATATATATATATATATATATATATATATATATATATATATATATATATATATATATATATTTATATATATATATATATTTATATATATATATATATATATATATATACACTCACACACATATATATATATATATATATATATATATATATATATATATATATATATATATATATATATATAATAATCTATAATATAAGCGGGCTGTGTCTGTCCTTCCTTCCTTCCTTCCTTCCTTCCTTCCGTCCGTCCGTCATCGCTATAGATTTTGGGACTATAAAAGTAAACATTCGCACCATGCTGTGCTTTTCAGTGCACCGCAGTGTCTTATTATAAAAAATAGAGTAGGGTTTGTTTATATAGCGGCATAGAGCTATTTTATAATTTCCACTGTTTGTACAATTTTGCATAACGTAAAGAGAATATTAAATACACGCACATTGCTAAAACATATTAAAAGGATCAATGTCAAATATCGTTTTCGTTAATATTCCCAGAAAAAGTGGATACATTTTTATAACATAATAACAGTACGGTAGAAAAATCTAATTAAACTGCTTAGTAATTTTGCCAATGGAGGTAATTCAAAGATAAATTGAACTCACGCTTAAAATGTGAATGCAAAATCTGCAAGATGGAATAATTGTTGGAATAATATAATTAGCAAAATGTGAATGCAAATTATGCAGACGTGTAAGAGTACATTATTGTTGGAATATTATTATTAGCATTGATTGATAAAAGGCTATCTTTTATTTATTTTATTCACTGAATGTGCTGTTTACTAATTATAATTTTTAATCAACTATTCTCCATTACTATATTAAGTCATCACGTTCATTAGGTGCGCAATGGTTTTAGTCATGAAACTTTATTGTAAATTTTTAAAAGTACTGAAAAAAATGCATGAATTTATAAAGTGCAATATGGTCGGTAAAACACGGATATTCTAAATACTGCCTTTAATTTATTGGCGGAAAAGCTAGGGGTTTTATAACAGAAACGTAGCAAGAGGGGGGGGGGGGGTAGGGTGGAAATCGAAAGTTTGAGGGAGGTGGGAGGGTGTAAATCGAAATTCTCCGCCGGCGCTCGGAAAGGGCGCGATTTGGCGCTACGGGATAGACTGTGAGCAATATGCCTTTAAGATTACATTTAAATTGAGTTTATGTTGAGTGTTGTGTTTGTTTTTTCGTTTTTATTTTTTTGTCTTTGCGTTCGTTTGTGTTATATTTAGTTTTGTTCTGTTCCCAACTTGGTACATTTAAAAAAGATTTACCGTGTGTTGTGGTTGTGGTTGTGGTTGTGGTTGTGGTTGTGTTGTGGTTGTGGTTGTGTTGTGGTTGTGTTGTGGTTGTGGTTGTTTTGTGGTTGTGTTGTGGTTGTTGTTGTGTTGTGGTTGTGTTGTGATTGTGTTGTGGTTGTAATGTGGTTGTGTTGTGGTTGTGGTTGTGGTTGTGTTTTGTTTGTGTTTGTGTTGTGTTTTTGTTTGTTTTGTTCTGTTCTGTTCCAAAGTTGGTATATTTTAAAAAGATTTACCGTGGCGGAGCACGGAATGCAGCTAGTCTATAATATAAGCGGGCTGTGTCTGTCCTTCCTTCCTTCCTTCCTTCCTTCCTTCCGTCCGTCCGTCCGTCATCGCTATAGATTTTGGGACTATAAAAGTAAACTACGCACCATGCTGTGCTTTTCAGTGCACCGCAGTGTCTTATTATAAGTATTAGAGTAGGGTTTGTTTATATAGCGGCATAGAGCTATTTTACAATTTCCACTGTTTGTACAATTTTGCATAACGTAAAGAGGATATTAAATACACGCACATTGCTAAAACATATTAAAAGGATCAATGTCAAATATAGTTTTCGTTAATATTCCTAGAAAAAGTGGATACATTTTAATAACATAATAACTGTAGGTTAGAAAAATCTAATTAAACTGTTTAGTAATTTTGCCAAGGGAGGTATTTTAAAAATAAATTGAACTCACGCTAAAAATGTGAATGCAAAATCTGCAAGACGGAATAATTGTTGGAATAATATAATTAGCAAAATGTGAATGCAAATTATGCAGACGTGTAAGAGTACATTATTGTTGGAATATTATAATTAGCATTGATTGATAAAAGGCTATTTTTTATTTATTATGTTCACTGAATGTAATGTTTGCTACTTATAATTTTTAATCAACTATTCTCCATTATTATATTAAGTCATCACGTTCATTAGGTGCGCAATGGTTTTAGTCATGAAAATTGTAAATTATTGTAAATTTTTAAAAGTACTGAAAAAAATGCATGAATTTATAAAGTGCAATATGGTCGGTAAAACACGGATATTCTAAATACTGCCTTTAATTTATTGGCGGAAAAGCTAGGGGTTTTATAACAGAGGCGTAGCAAGAGGGGGGGGGGGTAGGGTGGAAATCGAAAGTTTGAGGGAGGTGGGAGGGTGTAAATCGAAATTTTCCGCCGGCGCTCGGAAAGGGCGCGATTTGGCGCTACGGGATAGACTGTGA